TTTATACATTAACTGTATATGTTCTGCTCTGTGATACACACAACACCCTCGTGTTTACAGCAGGATCAGAGTGGAGTTGAGCATACTTGTCTGAGCTGCTCGGGCTTTATGCAGCATCTCCATCAGATCCCCATTCACAACTCTGGGCAGGAACTCTCTAAGCTGCATGACTTCTGTGGTCAACTTCTCTAAATCTCTCTTCCTCACTCTGATGAAGCCACCCTGGAAGAAAAAAAGATAGAAAAAGACTGCGTCCTTCTTTGCCACAGATTCACTCATTTAATTGTGCGTTTTTAGATTCTAAGTAATCCATAGACAGACAAGGAAACTATTAAATATGCACTCCAGACCAGGCAGAGTGTGATAAGGGCTCAGTGTCAACTGCTATTACAATGAAGCATGTCTGCAGGATGGCCTATAAATAAGCAATGGGGACAAATGAATAGAAAACACAGTCTTAGGTATGTGTTGGCCGACCATGTTCTGCAATATCAGCTTCAATGCACCGATTCTCTGAGTTTTAAATCATCACCATCATTTATGAGGTCTCTGCTGAGTTACTGGTTTAACTTAAGTTCAGACAGACTTTACAGTGTCTCCTTTATGAAGAAGCTGGCGACAGAACAGAGACACTTCCTGTAGTTTCTTCATTGAAATTATGCACAGTCCTCATTTTTAGTTTTATAATATAATGTAAGTCTACAGTGTCATCTCAGGGTTTGAGCACACTGTCTAAAGATGGCTCTGTCACTCAGATAGTTGTATTTGAATTAAAACAAGGTTAAAGATTTAGCTGCTGGCTTGAAAAAGTCCCACTTTTATTAGCCAGGTACGCGTTTTAACTCTGTACGTGTAGTGACCACTATCACAGAGTCACCAAACACTGAGAGGCCCATCTTTTGTCTTTGGACTCCAGCCGGTCTGATGAGGACGAAGCTAAAGATGTCGTCTTTGTTCTCCTGATTAGCAGGAACAGCAGGCAGGTTCGTCCGCGGCTGACTGGGTCTTACCTTTGCTTTTTGGCCCGTCTTTTTCCCGCCTGGTAAGGCTGCCATGTTACTGCTGGTTGGTGAGTCTGCTTCTGTGGTCACAGAGACCAGCACTCGGTTTATTACACAGCCAGCAAAGCTAGCACGTTAGCTAAGAAATGTTTCTGAATCCACAGACACAGGTTTGAGTTGTTTAGTGCCACATCACCAATGTTTTTGAATATATTGGACACATAAAGCTGCTCACCAGTGGTGTGAGTCAGAGGACTGAGGACCTGTTCCTGGCCGCTTTTTAGCGCAGACCGTCCCAAACACACGGGGTGTAGCTGTGAGGTGGGCTCCAGTCCGGGTTTTACGGCCTGCGAGAGAGCTGGGCTCTTCCTTTGTGTTTGAACTTCTTCAGTGTGCTCCGTGGGACCGGTGCGGTGGAGACAAGCACTTCCGTTTGCCCTCTCTCGGCTCACTCATGTCTGGGGGACTAGAAGCCCGCTTCTCCGGGGATGACGTGTTTGTGAGCTGCTTCCCAGTGCACCGCGCCTGCCGGGATGGGGATGTTGGGGCTCTGGTCCTTCTGTTACAGCAGCTGTCAAACCACATCCATCTAACTGCCGAGGACTCCTTCTATGGATGGACTCCCATTCACTGGGCTGCTCACTATGGACAGGTCAGCATGCAATCACTGGGTATTCAATAGTGGTGTCCGTGAAACACGAAAGAGGGTTAAAATAGGTGTGCACTTTTGCCTACTGCTGTGAACTGTAACCACACTGTGTGTATTATATGTTTAAGCTTCAACATGGCGGCGGACAGCGCTCATAATCAAGCTAAAAGATTTTTTCCTCTTTAATATTTCGCCGCGCTCCTTTACTGTGTCTGATTGGCCCAAACAGTTACGTCTGAGTACCGGCGTACAACAAAGGGTTTTTTTTAAAGAAAAAAAAACCTTGACGTGTTTGGAGGTTTTCATTGGTTCAGTAGGAGCCAATCGCTTTTTAGGCGCCAAAATCGGCTCAAAACAAACGTAACACCAGAGCCTGCGACACCGCAACAGCCGCTGTTCTCTAAAAATACAAAAACTTGCTCTGTTTTTTATTTTTTATTATTAGATGATTAATTACTTCTCGTACTATTATGATCTTCTTCATTTTATATCATTGTTTTTACCAAAGCTCTGCTAGAAGCGTCTCTTCAGCCACCTTGAAATATCTCCAAACACTTACTGGGCACATGTTTTAAGCAGTGTCTGAATCTACTTACACTTTTTGCTTATGCGTCCCTTTAAGCGGACCTTAGGTGGGGTTTTTAAATATGTCTAACAACCAAAGTCAGCTGAAGCCTGCTTTGAGAACAGTGGGGTCCACGCTGTGCTCGGGTGATATACAAGGAGAACTGTTGGAGATTTCTTCCAATGAAAGTGCGTCAGTGCAGAGGTCTCTGAGATCTGCAGCGGTGACATACATGAGCAGTGTGTCACTGTGATTCTTGTATTTGTTCCTGGCGTGTGGCACAGCTGGAGTGCGTGATGCACCTGGTGGAGATGGGCTGCGAGGTGAACAGGGTGACCAGTCGATTCAATCAGACTCCAACGCACACCGCAGCATTCGGAGGACATCCTCACTGCGTGGTGTGGCTCACTCAGGCTGGGGCTGACGTCAACAAGCAGGTCAGTGTGTGGAAACTCACCTAGTGTGTAGTATTTAATGCTTAATGCGGTGCTGTTTGCATCTATGAGTGTTATCACTGAATATTTGAATCTAGGGACCTCTGCTTTTTGCATCTGCTGTACATAAAAGCTAGATGAAATTCATTTAATTGACAGTGTCTCCAGCGTTGTTCACACTAAATATGTACTTGTAGTCATGGTAAGGTTTTGGGACTGAACTTGTACTTGCAGCAAAGCTGAAAAGATAATTAGGAATGGATGCAGAGTTCACAGTGCCAGCAGTACTCATGAACTCGAGCTCGTCCATTAGTGGCCCAGGCGTGGACCGACAGGGCAGGAGCTTTGACTGCTGCTGGGTTTCCTTCTGTTGTTTCCTTTCCCTTTTATTTCAAAAGAGCAGTGCACAATAATCTGAGCAATGTAGAGTTTGATTGGTCAGTAATATTAGTGTCATTTTTGCATGTCTGTAACACAGTTGGCTTGTGCTATGCTAACAGCTTCACTCATATCTCAAACCTTACAGTTTACGTTGTGTTTTCAGGACTTTGTTGGTGAGGCTCCCATTCATAAGGCAGCTCGGTCGGGTAGCTTGGAGTGTATCCAGGTCCTTTTGATAGCAGGCGCTAAACCGCAGTAAGTATCCTGCAGTCTTCGGTTTAGTAGTAATATCCAGTGTAAAGCACCATAGGAGCTCTGGCACACCGAGTGTGAACCACAGCAGCTGCTACACGTCTTAGATTTGAGTCATGTAGGCCACACGTGCTCAGCAGGTCTGGTCAGAATAACTACGGCTTTTATTTTTACTGTGAAATTTACTTTAGTGGGAAATCCTGCAGCTCAGTGCTGTGCTTCAGATATCCCGCCTGAGGTAAACCCAGAGGATGA